AAAAAAAAAAAAAAAAAGAAAGAAAGAAAAAGAAAGAAAGAAAGAGTAGAGAAACACAATTGCAATTGTTTTTGCATATTTACATTGTATCCTGCTGAGCTCATTTATTAGTGCTAATAGTTTTTTGTGGATTCTTTTGAGCCTTCTCTAAGATCATGTCATCTGTGAATAGAAATCATTTTAGCTCTTTCTTTCCAGTCTGGATGCCCTTTGTGTCTTTTTCTTGACCAATCACCTGATTTGAACCTCCAGTACAATATTGAGTAGAAGTGGTGAGAGTGGGCATCCATGTCTTATTTCTGATTTTGGGGAAAGCACTCAGTCTTTTGCTTTTAAATATTATGTAAGCTGTGGGTTTCTAGATGCCTTTCATCAGGTTAAGGAAGATCCTTTGTATTCCTACTATAGGGGCAAAAAGAAGATTATCCCTCCCACTCTTCCAACATAAGGGTCACAGCCAACACTGCTATAACAAAAGACAGGTTAAAAAGAGAAAAGCATAACAGACTTATTTAATTATAGTTTTATATAACACTGGAGGCTTTAGAATAAAGACCCAGTGATACAGGGAAAACTACCCATTTTTATGCTTAGGTTTGATGAAGAAAGAACAGCAGTATAGAAGTATGATTGGACATCAAGGGTATGATTTAATGCTAGTAGATTGAGGTAGCGAAACCCAGCAAGTCCTATCTATTCAGATTCTTCTTGGCCTCTCTCTATACAGCATTCATTCTTCCCAGGTATAAGGCAACCCTTTCTAGAATGGGGGTCTTATGATCTACCATCAAACAAGGTAGGTCAGATCTTTATGGCTGGCTTTTACACAGAAAGATGGGGGGAAGATTAATGTTTTTATGCTTTATAACTGGCTTTCAGGGAAAAGAGTTCTATGATCCACCTTGGGAAAGAGGAGGTCTAGTTTCTGTGGCCTGCTGGAAAGAATGAGGGGTGAGAGACAGGAGGGTAGAAGGTCTGAGAGAAATCTTACTTCTGAGGCTCACTCTGAGGCCTTCACTTTGGGGTACTGTTTCCTGAGCCCTAAAATTAGTTTGTTGTGAAAAACATTTGATTTTGTTTTGATTTTGCAT